CAGCTCCGCACCAGCGCTCTCCTGGGCAGATCCAAGCCTGTCCTCAGAGCTGGAGTCTCGATGTGCGCGTGGGGGAGGGCGCGGGAGAACGACAAGCCAATGGGGGGGTGCCACACCGGGGCAGGTAGCCAGGGGCCCTTCGGCATGAGGTCAGGACTGGGGTTTATTCCGAGTCCCAGGAGCCCTGGGGGGCCGGGGAGGTCTCCACTCCCACTCAGGACCCGCAGTTCCACAGAGTGCCACCAGGTGGCAGGGCTGAGTGTGCGGAGCTGCTCAGAGGCCTTCCTGGACCAGAGGCAGGCTCCGCCCTCACCCTGCCCTCACCCTGCGGGTCATTCAGGGCCTCAGAGAACCTGGGCATCTCAGGGTTCCCCTCCAGCCGCTAGGGTTCCCGGAGCTGAGACGTGCCCGGCAGGTGGGGGTGCAGGATGAGGGCGTTCCTTACACTGCTGCCCCCTCGCTGGGGCCAGGATGTTCCCCCTCCACCTCCCAGGTCAGGCTCCTCCTCCCCTGAGCTCCCTGCCCACAGCCTTCAGGTCACCCGCGCACACGTCCCCTTGGGGACTTATCTGGGACTGTGCACTCATTGGTCTGCCTTTCCTGGAGGACGAGAGCCTGAGGGTGGGGCTTGGTCTCGACTGAACCCCCAGGACCAGGCACAGGCGCACAGTAGGTGCTCAGTATCCATTGATGAGTAAACCCGTGGGCTGTCCGTTAAAGGAGCAATGAGCTGGTGTCTGTGGTCATGCCAGGCAGCCCAGGATGCCAGCACCCCCACCCCCACCCCCAACCTCACTCCTCCCCTGGGACGCCCCAGGTGAGCCCGGATTTCTGGGGCTCGGGTACGTGCTGGACACTCTGCCCAGCCAACTCCTGACCCCAGGACTGAGCACGGACCTGACTCCTCGGGGGCAGAGGACGCCGCTGGGCTCTCAGGGGAGCCGTCACACACCACTCCGGTGTCTGCCCACTGCCCCCCTCAGCCCTTGAAGGAGGGACCCCAGGTGACCCCTCTCAGAGTGACCAGGGCCAGGCACACGGCCCGGGCCTGGGCAGAGGTGGGTGGGCCCAGCGGTCACCTGCGCCCGCCCAAGGCCCTGGCGACCCCTACCCAGGATGCAGGAGTGTGTGAAGGAGCCCTCGCTGGAGTAGAGGCCGTAGGTGCCCAGGTAGGGCGACACCACCTTCTGGACCAGCGTCTCCAGGCGCAGGTAGTCCTTGGTCACGCCGCGGGACTCGTGCACGCCCTGCAAGAGGGAGAGGCGGAGGGTCACCCACAGCAGGCCCGGCCGCTCACCCCGGGCTCAGCTCACAGCCACCTCCAACACCCTGCCCTCCTCCCAGCCCCTCGAGCTGCGGCCTCAGGCTCTGTCCTGCTCTGAGCCCCTCTGCTCTGTCCCCGGCAGCTGTGGGTCTGGGTGGCTGTGGTGCCCGGGGGAAAAGGACCCTGTGGCCGCGTGCAGTTGGGCGTCCTGCAGTCCGCCCCTCGGAGGGTCCCCATCGCGGCTACCTGGAGGCTCTCGACGTCCTGCAGTGCAAGCTCATTCCCCCGGCCCGTCCTCACTCCCCGGGTGGAGCGCTGCAGGCGGGAAAGGCTGCCCCGTGGGCCAGGCCTGGTCCACATCCAAGGCCCGTCCACCGGACAGCTGCCCGCCCCCTCCGTGCTCCCCCTGCTCCCCCTGAGGGGTCTCAGCCAGCGCCTTCCTGGCCCCTCCTGGGATCTCCTCCTCCTCTGGTTTCATCCGAGCCAAAGCCTGAGGAATGGGCTGCGCACAGGATGGCCTGGGGCCTGCTGATCAGGGGCAAGCTGTGTCCCCAGGACCCCCACAGGGGGCGGCACTCAGCTGGCGTGTAGTGAGTGCTTTATGAATGAATGAATGAATGAATGGATGTATGGGTGAATGGCTGAATGAATGAATGACATCACTCCTCAGGGCTGTCAGTCAGTAAGGGACAAGATACACTCAGGGTGACGATCAATGACAGTCCAAGACAGCAAGAGAACCCCACTCCGCAAGATACACTCAGGGTGACGATCAATGACAGTCCAAGCAAGAGAACCCCACTCCACTGCCCTCAGGAAACCCACTCACACTACAAAGACACGCGTGGAGGAACAGGAAGGGAGGACGCTGTGCCGGCGACCACTGACGGGAAGAAAGCAGGAGCGGTGTCAGTTTCAGACAGGGAGACTGCAGACCAAGGCACGTGACAGGGAGAAGAGGTCCGTACCTAACGGCAAAGGGGCCAGTTCTCTCAGACGCCGTACAGCCCTTCACGCACACGCGCCTGACAGCAGAGCAGCAAGCGACGGAGGGAAAAGCTAACAGAAGTGCAGGGAGAAACGCGAATCTGCCCTCACAGCCGGAGACGCTGCGCCCCTCTCAGATCCATGGTCCTGCCGCAGGGATCACGGGACGCAGCTGACCCGACGCCGCCAGCAACCCGCCGGGCGTAACTGACGCCCATACCCCAGCTCCTCCAGGAACGGAAGACACATCCTTCTCCGGCCCCTGGAGCATTCGCCAAACAGACCCCACTCGGGACCAGAAAACACATCTTAGCAAATTTTAAAAAGTACAAAGCACACAACGTCTGCTCTCAGGCCCCCGTGAAATGTCACCAGGAATCAGTAACAGAAAGAGAACTGGGAAAATCCCCAAATACATGGAGATCAAACAACTCACTTGTAAATCGTACCCGAGTCAAAGAAGAAATCTCAGGGAATATTTTAAGAGATTTTGAACTCAATGTAGATATAACATCCAAATTGGTGAAATGCATCAAAAACAGTGTTTAGAGGGGAATTTATAGCACTGAGTGGGTATATTAGAAAAGCGAAAGATCCAAAATCAATAACCAGCTTCCACAAAGAAGAGCAAATGAAGTCTGAAGTGAGCAGAAGAAAAAAACGTAACAATCAGAGCAGAAATCAATGAAACTGAAAATGGGAATCAACAGAGAAAAATCAACAAAATCAAAAGCTAGTCCTTTGAAAAGCTCAATAAATTTAATAATCCTCTAGCCAGGCTAACAAAGAAAGACACAAACCACTAGATCAGAAATGAAAAAGGACATCACTACAGACCCCGCAGACCCAGCTGTGCTTGGACGAGGAGGGGGTGGGATTCATTGGGTGGCCCGTCCGTCCGTCATCCGGATGAACGTAAAGGACCCCAGACTTCCCTGGTCCTGTCTCCATCCCCAGCAGCAGTGCCAGGAACGAGTATGACACCACTGAGCTGTGCTGGGCTTCTCATGAACTTTATGTCATTTCATTTCCAGAACTTGTTTCTGGAGTCTGCTCTCTGCTCCCATTGCAGAGAGGAAATGGGGACCCAGGGGCTGCATGCTTTGTGTGCACTCAGAGGCAGGGCTGCTCCCTGGCTCCTGGGATCCCCTGAGAAGGAACCGTGACTCTGCAGGTGAAGCACAGGGCGCACAGTAGGTCCTCAACACATGCTGACCAGCAGCTGTGACTTCAGATCCATCTGGAACTTGAAAGCAGTGGGGACAAGTTCACTGGGACAAGGTCATTCAAAGTGTGGGCCAAGTGGGGGTGGGGCAGCGGCAGAACCTTGTGGTTTGGGGAGGCACCCACAAGGAGCAGGAAGGACAGCCTGGGTGGCCAGGGGGCCAAGCCCAGAAAGCTGCATGAGGCACAGTGGCCACCAGGGGGCAGCACCACCCAGCTGGCCACCCACAGGAAGGGGCTCCTGGGATCAAGGTGGGACCTTACTCCTTGGTTCTAAATCCCAGCCGTGTGGCGCCTGCTCCCAGGGGCATATTGGGGGCTTTGCATCCGATGTCTCCCCGTTATCCCTGAACCTGCCTGCCAATAGGCGGCCTCACTCCATCACACGACGAGAAAAGCGGCTCGAGAGACAAAGTCCCGCCGAGGCCCCCAGCTTCCACCCAGCCAGGTCTGACCTGACACCCTCGAAATCCCGCTTGGCCGGCCTGCTGCCCCCGGAGCTGCCGGGCCACCTCAGCTGCCAGCAGTGCCGCCGGGACAGCAGCCCCCAGTCACCAGCCCCCTTGCTCTGGGATCTTCCCGGCTGCCTGGCTGCAGGCCCACCCCACCGATCCTGCGTGAGCCGGATTCCCACGCGCAGGGGATCCAGACAGTGAGCGGGGCTTCAGAGCCGCCGGACTCGGGTGGCCGGGCTGCTGGC